CTGCAACCTTCGATATGCATAGACATTTTGACATGTTTAAGGAATCTGTTGAGTTCATGGAACAAAAATTCAAAAAATATTGGGAGCGTGTTCCACTTTTGTATTGCGTAGCCGCTGTATTGGATCCAAGAGTTAAGTTAGCTAGTGTTGAATATTTGCTTAAGGGTATAGGGGAAAAACTGAAGGTGCATTCTGACATCATAACCATTCAAAATGTGCAAGTAAAAGTTAACACTTTATTTACTGCATATAATGAAAAATATGGAGGAGGCCAAACAATGTCCCCTACACCTTTAGCGAGTACTACATCTATACCACACGGTTCTTCATGGGAAAATATGATTAGCTACACCGGATTTGGTTTCGGTGTGTCATCCACGTCTTCAGCACGTAGTGAATTGGAAAACTATTTGGAAACAAATTTTGCGGCGTTCATTTTTAATGAGCAAGGTGGTGGTCATGATTTCAATAAGTTTAATATTTTGTCATTTTGGAGATCACAGTCAAGAACTTTTCCTGTGCTCTCTAGAATGGCACGTGATATACTAACCATACCAGTGTCCACAGTTGCAAGTGAACAAGTATTTAGTTGCAGTGGTAGAGTACTTGATGAACGGCGTGCACGCTTGAGTGACGATATTCTGGAGGCAGTAATGTGTGTCAAAGATTGGGAGGACGCTCGCAGAAGAAGCCAACAAGTTTAAGATGATTGGGTTGATGATTTTGAAAATTTAGATATTTCTGATGATACTCCTACTGGGAGTAATACATTGTAATTACGAACAATATCTATTTTTTTATATTTTTTTCTTTGTTTTGGTAATTTTGTAAGCATCTTATGTATAATTATTCTGATTGTACTCTTTTTTTCTTACTAAGGTTTTATCCCACTGGGTTTTCCTTAGAAAGGTTTTTAATGAGGCAATCGTAAATAAAATACATCTTTTCATATTCCCATTGACTATTCAAACATTTGTTTTTGTTAACTTATTTAAAAATAAAAAAAATAAAAAAATACATGCATAGATGGGCTGGCCCATTTAAACCCATGATGGGCCAAGATGGGCCAGCCCATCTAAACCTATGATGGGCTAATATGGGCCGGCCCATTCAAGGCCCACAGCACGGCCCATCCTAGCCCACGGCATGGCCCATCCTAGCCCACGGCACGGCCCGGCCTGGCCCACGTAAAATTAGCACGTGGGCTGGGCTGGGCCGAAGTAATTCGTACATGGGCCGGCATGGCCCGGCCCACATAATTCGTGAGCTGGGCCGGCCTGGCCCACGGTCCACGTGGGCCTAAGAAGAACGGGCCGGGCTGGCCCGTTCTTGCATCTCTAGATAGAGCATGAAGGCGCATGTGAAGTTTTGATGATGATAATTTGATAATATAGTTGATTGGGCAGATGAATTAGATTGCATCTATCTTATTTTTTGGGGAATTACTAATCTTCCAATAAGTGCACACTTACAACGAATACAACTGCAAGTTTTGAACGAGCCAAACGAGTCGGTCCAAATTCTATACTGTTGGGTTGAATTGAGGTTTTCAAATAAAGTAATCTTAACAAATATTACTTGAAAGTGCATGAGTTAATATTTTTACCTTTTATTTTTTATTTATAACCTTTTTAGTTAAATAAATACACTAACAAAAAGATATTTATAAAGAATAAGGAGTAAAAGTCTAGACTCTTAAAGGTAAATTTTCTATTTATTCTTTCAAGTATGAAAGTTTATTTGGCCTGGGCCAAATGCTTTTTTTTTTGAAAATATCTTATAAAATACCGGATTGGACCAGCCCTATGCTGTGGGGCTTTAGAGACGGGCTAGGATGACTTCTCTCTTTTAGAGCCAGCTCCGGCATAAATTTCTATTTGGACCACTAGGCACAAACCATAACTTTCATCTCTAACAACAAGCATCAAATAAGGGCGAAAAGTAGTTTTGTCGTAATTAGATGAAGCTTAAACTATTCTCCTCCTTGAAATCGTTGTTCCTAAATGTGATATTTGACAATTTGGTGGGGTGAGAAT